CCCTCAGCTGGGAGACTCTTGAATAAAGGAATAAAGGTGGCTCTTGGCAAAAGGGTGTGAACTGGACTTCTCTATTTTTGCATGTACAACGTACTTAGCATTAATAGCATAGTGTTTTATTTTACTATTTTTTAGGCCGAGGGATGCACACACACTGAAATTATGGACCGGTCTCGGCGTTTACACTGTTTTGGAATCGTCAAAAGATATTTTGTCAGATGATTTGTAATAATAATAAAGAATGTTGTTGTTAGAGGCAAATGTTGTAAAAAGGCGGCAATTTACACAGGAAAAAGTCTGTTACAAAAACGAAGGCTGCTGTTAGGCGGATGTTGCTCTTATATACGGGTTGCTATTAAGTGGGCACCTTTGTATTACAATCATTATAAATTATCATCGTCATAAAGTTCCAGTTTTGACACAGACATCAGCGATCATAGCTCGCCGTTCATTTCATCACTGAAATGCTTTCAGAAAAAATCCAAACAAACCCGACATTATACTGATGTTTCCCCCATCACCTTTATTATGTTAAGGTTTCCCAAGTAAGTAGCTCTGGGTCTAACTACAAGAGATGTACTCAAACGAGTAGCTTTTCAATACTCGAGTACTCGCCTGAGTTCAAAACCACCCAGTACTCGGGTAATCACTCGAGTGCTTACTTTTTTTTTCACCCAATGGGGGTTTTAGGGGAAAACAAAGCTAGTTGATGTATACATGTAGTATTTTTTTTTCTTTTTCTCTTTTTTTCTTTGAGCACTTTTCAAATCATTTAAGTAATTGTAATACCTTTCTTTGTTGCTTCTACCCTGATTCAACATTTCCTTTCCTGCTTTAGTATCATATTATTATTATCAATTATTATACTATGAGCAGTTCAATTAGTTGATCAAGGAAAATACAAGGATTAAAAAATATACCCCAAAAATCAATTTTAAAAAACAGAAAAAAACAAAAACACACAAAACCTTATTCATAGCATAGAATGAACATACAGCATAATATACTCTGGAGAAACATTAACAGGACACATGCATTATTCCTTCAAAAAGAACAAAGTGAATAAATAGAAAAGGGATGGTGTTGTGTATTATATCATGTAACATAATTTAAAAATAAATAAGACACAAAAATCAGTTTCAATATTTTAAAAATATTCAAAACTCTCAGCATTTAAGGTTTCAAAGAAGGACATTCAAAAAACGAACGTTGCAAATTGTGCTGCAGTATACCAATAATCACTTAAAGACATAAATAAATTGGTATCTGGTATGGCCACCATTCCAGTTAAAGGGAGTGACAACTCCTTGTGCATGGCCTTTTTGTAAGATCTAATATTGCTTTCTTGGGGACACTATTCCATGCATTTATGAAGCATTTTTTTTTTTATTGGTGGAACAATCCATTACAAAGAGTACACTTACCAACTGATTCATAGGTGTACTTTATGGTCATTGGGTCATTATTTACATATCAACTTCATTTTTTTTTCAGCTTGTTGTATAGCACTAAATTTTCTTTCACAATAATATGTGGCTTGTTTAAAATCATATTAATTACTGATCAATTAAAAATTACATCTTAAAAAGTGGCAAGTTAATGTTGTCTAGAGTACATTTACAGAATAAAACAGGTCCATACATATTAGAATAGACCTGACACAAATGTGCAGGTTAATTTGTTGGCTAAAACTGAATTAGGTCTACACTTCTCCACCTTTTTCCATATAAAATAATTCACACACATAATACATTATGCCTGTGTTGACGATTTGAATACCTGAGTACTCGCTCAAGAGAAAATTCCCACAGTACTGGAATTGCACACTTCTAAGAGATCTACCCCCGCTTTATTTACCTTCTATTTTTCCAGTGACAGCAAAATATTCAAAGCCTTCAACTTCAGGTGACAGTACTATCTCATTTTGATTTCTTTGACTTCCATTAAATTTTCAACAGTCTCAAAAGAAATCACATTTCTGTTTCTCTTATTTCATTTGATTTTCATTGGTAGTTGTCCAGCATTCACTGTCATTTAGACGAGTGGACCAGACATGATAGGTTTCTTATGAATTGTCCTTACATTCTACATGGCCAGTTTAAAAAAGTTTTGGCCCAGATTTTGTTTTGCAGAGAGTAGCTGGATAACGATCGGGCTCCACCTGCTTTATGCAGCGGTCCCTACCAAGCGAAGGGTTCTCAGATGGATTATAAACCCCCTTAATGCTTTAATCTTTAAAAAGTTGAAAATGATTTGACTTTCAATGATTATCTCGGGAGGTTACAGTGGTGGTTTCTGTTCCCTATAGCCAGTTTGTGTACACTTTACTCTGCTAGCCTTTATCATCCGCTGACTGCCAACACGGCGGTAGGGGCCATTCAATTGTTAGCCTCTATAATGTTACTTTATTTATAATAAATACATTTGAGCTTACAGGCTAAACTTTGGAAACATTATTTCATGGCTTCATATGCATATAATATATATATGGCCTACATGTATTTCAGTATCTATGGACAAAATACCTATGTGTGCACGTGTGTAAGTGTACGTGTGTGTGTGTAAGCGAGCACACTGACTCACGTACCTCATCTGCTGGGATGAAGTGGCTTGGGCCGGACACAGTCACCACTGGTACCTGGAGGCGGCCACATCCTCGTTCCTGTCAGAGGGAGCACACCAAAGAACAATCATTACATGGTCAGTAGGCCTATATAGCCATTCCAAATCGTATATAATGGTTGATGCACAGTTGCTACATGGCCACAATATAGTTAATAAAAATAACATCGATTATAATAATAACAAGCAATGGCCTATGCGCTTTACAACCATTATTTCCCCAGCAGACTCGTGAACACCCAGAAACATTTTCGCGCTCAAAAAATAACAAACTGACAATGACAGGATCTTTTGCTATCTATAGCCGGGTATCCATTCCCACCTGGGTGAAGTGAGGAAAATTTATCATAAAAATTGCCTTTCCCAAGGACACAAAGTCGGGTCCCTGAAGGTAATCAAAGCCATAACATTACGATTGCAAGTCAAAGAACCTAACCACAAGGCCACCTATTCAATAGCCATTGCATAGTCACTTCATGGCAACTATACAATAAAGTCCAGCACACACACAGCAAACACGCTACGCACAGAGCGAACACATTCTTCTATCGACCTTCCTCCTTCCCGCCTTCCTCTCTTCCCCTCTTTCTCTCCACGTCCCCTTAGTCTAACCTTCCTCCACCACTCCAACACTCTCCCTGTCTTCCAGATCTTCATCAATCCTCCACCCCCTCCTTTTCCAAATTTCTCCCCCC